ATTTCCGCAGTGTGTAAATGCTGCTTTTAGATGTGCCTTTGGTTCACCACACCTGAATCAAGTAATTAGATGATTGAGAGGACTCTGGAGGAATTGACTGCATACTGAGGAGGTACTCAGCCATTTGATTCAGGCGTGTTGGACCAAGGATGGATCTAAAAGTTGCAGGATAACGTCCCCCAGGAACTGGAATTGCCCACCCCTGGGTTATATTAACGAGTATAATAGATGAATAACTAGATGGATAAGTAAAAAAAAAACTTTTAGAGAGAAGGAGAGAAAGGGTTTATATCTATCTTCTCTGTTTCTGTTGTGTTCCAGACCTAAAAACCTACGAAATCAAACTCCAGAATATTCCAGATTTATTTTAGACCCTCAGACTAAAACGAAATTAAATCTGACTACAATGTTCTTTTCAGCAAGAGTGGAGGTTCAAGTTGGAAACTCACCTCTCCAGGAAAGCTGGTCTCTCTGGTAGAGGTGTGGGAGCAGAGCTCTGAGGACTGTCCATTAAAGAGGTGAGGCCACGGCCGTCTCGAAGGGTGAGGGGCTCCAGTAAGGAGTTAGAGGAGTAAGAGGAGGCCGACAGCCTTGACGCATATGATGCTGCTTGATGCGAGGAGGAGGAAGGGGAGCTGGTGGACAGGAGGGGGCCGAGGAGTCCTGCTGATCGGCGTGGAGAGACCGAAAGTGGAGGTGGGGGCAACACCACAAGTGTGGAGGACAGAGCCGGCGCCAGCGGGAGGGGAGAGGAGGAGCGGGAGCCTGGCTGAGAAAAAGCGTGGTCTCTGGGTGGGATCTGAGGAGGCGGATTCTCCTCATCTCCCAGAGATATGGTGCTGGAGCGGGCCCCCTGCGGGGCGGAGCGGGAGCTGTAGCTGTGCTTAGAGGGACGTAAGGGGGGGGCAGGGCTGCGGGGCGGCAACACGGGCCGGTCCTCAAAGCAGGAGGTGATGGAGGTAGAAGAGGAGGAGGGGGAGGGAGGAGGCAGATAGATTTGTCTGTGGGCTCCAAAAGGAGCCAGAGGCATTGGGGTGGGGGAAGATGGGAGGGAACGCCCTGTTGCCATGGGAACCTGTAGCTTGACCATCACCTGTGAGAAGATGAGAATGTAAAGACGAGGTGGTGCGTTGGACTATTTCTATCAGTCAGAGGCAGAAATAAACATCCACTGATGAGGATTATACAGCTGTACCTCCCTCTGCAGCTCCTGGAACAGGTCAGCAGACTGGGACTCACTCCTCCCCGACACACTGGACACAGGCGGGGGCAAGGCTTCTTCAGTCTGACCCTTATTGATGGAGCGCACCTCCTGATCCTCTGATTGGTCATCGAAGTCTGCAGTGACCTCATCATAGGCTGGCTGGGGCAGAGGCCAGTCCAGGATAGAGGGGGTGTCCTGGGGTGGAAAAAATAAAAATGATAAATTATACAGAATTTAGATCAAAGAAAATCACCTAAAACAGCAGATGAACACCTGTAAACCTCAGACTGCTGCTTCTAAAGAGCCGGAGACGATCACCTTGTAAATCCCATAAAACAAACATGGATGTATATAGTGTTTCACTACAGATTTCTACATTTTGGTCCATTTATCTTTCTAATTTATTGTTTTGTTTTTTTAAACTATAGAAAAAAACAGCATAAGATCTAAACATCTGGTCAGTTTTACTTTTACAGTCCTTAAAATCTGCTGTTTAAATAAGTGTTTCTATGTTCTCTCCTGTGTTTAGCAGAGGGAGTGCAGTGAGTCTAAAAAGGCTGTAAAGGATCAGTCCATCATGATAGTCAAACAACCAGCTTTCACTAGTTTCTGACTTTGTTTATCAAAGATCCTCTGTAAGATTTTGATAACCATTGCTTTTGAAATGGAGCATAGCGGCCGTGAAAGAAGAGTAGTTCAGAGAAGCCGCGTTAGCAGTGAAGCTGAAGCAGGTAGCAGCAATAACAGCAGCGGCAATAAGCATGTAATATGCATAGATGATGCAGTTTGCAGAATGGTGAGCAGAGAAATGACGCATCCTAAGGGTTATATTCCAAGACATCTATAATAAAGCAGAAACCTAGACTTTACATAGATCCTGTGGTTCAAAGAAATTGCAGATATATGCAATAACTACACCTTTACCCTGTGGTTTAGATGGTCGGCTGGAGAGATTGCAGCCAGCTGGCTCCCCAGCTCAGACCAATTTAAACCATCACAGGACCTCTGATGATCTGGAAAGCAAAAAAAGCATTTCATCCTAAACTAATTCCGTTTTTGACTAATGCCTTCAGGTGTGCCAGCTATAAAGCTGTTAAAAGCGCCAAACCAAACTGCTTGGATTGTATTGCTTAGCAAATATCTTGGCTTTAAAGGTCAGCTTTATGTACTCAAATATCATCTAAGATTAATTGGTTTGGAATGTAGGAATTTGTTTAAGTTCATATAATTACTATATTTGATAGTGCATGTGTTACGTCCACAAGGGCACAATATATTTGAGGACAAAGACAAAACTGAGGGCACAAAGTTATTTATTTTTATTTATTCTGCTGTTAAACACTCCTTCAAAACCCTCTTTTCTTAAGACAGCTGTGGGAGATATTCTGTAATATATTCTTGTATATGCCTTCAGCTTACGTGTCAAAGAAAAAAAAAAAGAAAGAAAAGGAAAGAAAAAAAAACAAAGTATTAACAGAAAGTTGGACCTGGTGAGCCGATCAAAAATAACAAAACAGTACAGCAGGGGGCCAACCCTATACAGGCCCGTCGAAGCCCCTACTAGTACCGGACTACAGCAAAAATAAACTACTAAAGAGAAATAAAGAATCAAAAACAGGACAACCGATCCCACCAGGCCAAAATCACAATGAAAAAAGCATCCAAACAAAGGCTAACAAAAATACGGCATGGCAGGTCGGAGGTGTCGGCTGCAGCCTGCAGCAACTGGAGAAACCCCAAAACATACTAAACAAAAATTCATTAAACCAAAATTAATATTAAACCATCTAGAAAGAAGAATTATAAAAATAATTATGTGCCCAAAGCAGATAACAACATGTTTTTCTTTTGTTTTGACTATTTTAATGGTCTTTTTAATCGTCTTTGTACATAAGCTGAGGAGGCCATTTAGACTGAGTAGAAAGCGGCAACAGTTAGGGGAGTCCCGATACAACTTTTTCATCTACGATATGATATCAGTTTGCAGCTTTGAGTATTGACTGATACAGATTTTGTCTTAGTACGATGTCAGCATTAATAACACATACTTTTATTGCTTATTTTATAGTATGGAATGATAGAAAAGGCTTGATCAAGTGGTAATCTCAGAGAACAATAGTCAACATCAGGTAAGAAAACAAACTGGCTCATTTCTTATCCATCAGAAAATTAACTTTAAACCGAAGACAATAGAAGTAAAAGTGTTTTTATGAGCTTTCTAATATTTGACAATTTAGTTGCAGGTTGATAAATTCTGATAGTCATTTTTTTGGCTGATATTGGACCGATTTATAATATTGGTATCGGATCTGGACACCTATAGAGACCTTCTTTAACGAAGACCAACAAAGGAAAACACATTACTCCTGTTCTATCCTTCCTGCATGGGCACCAGGAACATTTTAAAATGTTGGCTCTGACTATTAAAGCACTTTGTGGCCAAGCTCCGAAATATATTCAGAACTTTAATGTTCCTCTCAGACGTTGAGATCATCTGAAGAGAGGTTTTCTGTGACACTTGCCTCTGTAAGCTGGTGGTGTGGGCGTGGCCCTTTAGTTCTGGAACCTTCTCCCACTGTTCATGTGCTGAATGAACTCATCTGACTCTTTTAAGAAGCACCAGAAAGCCAGATGGCGGCTAAATACTAATAAGTACCGACTGTGATGTAATGCGTCATGGAAAACCGACAGCTTTTAGAAGGTTTGCTATCACTAGTAGCACTGTTAACAATTACTTGTCCTCCCATGTCTACCATCCTCACAGTGAATTCAGAAAACGTCCTGAACTTTAGCTTGGACTCCAACATCTTGTGCCTTTTTATACTTATGCTTCGGCTTGTTTACCAATTGTATGCATACTCAGTGAAATAACCCAGGTCACATGATGTTGTTACGAGAAATATACACAGAAAGGCAATATCGACCAACAAGCTGAACAAAAAAACAAAAAACATGATACTATACCAGCAGGATGCCGAAATTTTTAACAAAACATTTTATTCAACCAAAGTGAGTTATTGGTTTAGAAAAAAAAAAAAGAAGTGACTATACTACTTTATTATAGGATATCCATTTAGACCAAATTGTTCATATCCATGGGTCCCTTTTTACTATATTCATTTTTTATTCCTCTTTATGGCTAATAAAGAAATCTAAACACATAGATTAATTTCTTACTACATTCCCCCAAAAAATAGACCTTCACAGGTGATCTGTTGATATTTCTCCCCATTTTACTCATTCAAAAGGTAAAAACTGGTCAAAAAAAAGAGATTGTGCTGTTGGAGACCGTGTGTCTACATCAATTATGATGTGATTTAACTTCAGAAAAAAAACAGAACTGTTCGTTAAACATTCAGCCTAAAAAGATAACATTATTAATTTATTAGAAAGCCAAGAGGTAAGCCTAATAAACTCACATAACGTCAATCCAGATTTTTACTTTTTTTGATAGTAGGTAAATAAAGGTGCCATTTTATTAAGAATGAATAATTCAGCAACAAATAAAAACAGGTTGTATTTAATTTGATTAGAAAGCTGAATTTTTAAGTTTAAAGCCAACTAAGGTTTGCCTTTAGTCAGCTATTTACAAATGATATCTTTTCCCTTAAATTGCCCTGCTATATGATCAAATCTGCCTAGAGTGAGAAAAGAGATTCAGTCTCAACGGTAATTTGAGATCCTCCTGCAGACCCTCCTCCAAAGAAAGATGAGAACCAACACACTCTGAGTTGGTTACTGGTAAATGGAGCCAGGTGTGCACTCCAATTACTCCTACAGTAATCAGCCAAGAGTACAGTGATATGCTAATAAGTAAAGCCAGAAAAAAAAGCTAAGATTTCCTGCTTTAAACAACATTTGGGGGGAAAATAGCCATTTTTTGTTTATTTCTCTGTTCTACTTATGATCTCAAAGATTACATGTTTACAGTCCTTCTTCCAGATGTGTGAAAGCAAACTAAAGCTGCAGGCTTGATTCTGGGTCGATGCCTGAAGCATGAGGGGGGAGAGGGTCAATCAATGAGCTCCAATCATCATCATGCTGCACCTGTCTGTGTGCATCCAAGAGGAGAAGTTATCAATCACACTTTCAGGCCAGAGGCCGCATCGGTGTCTTTGCAGTAATCACCGTCTGCCTCAGCTGTGATTTGATTAGTGTTTTTTCAGTCATGGAAGGTCTCTAATGTGTCTTTAAACCCACTTTGCTGACATTACATAGCTTTTACAGTGCGAGTGGGTAAAGGTAAAAGGTCAGAGGCTAAAACCTTCAGATTAGATAGGGCCTTCTCTGCTAATTGCTAGCTTGGCTCCAATGGGGGATGTGGGTTTGCTGATAATGGAAAAACAAATCATCTTTTCTTCCAACCTTTACTCAATGAGGCGTTGAACAACATGGTCTTCCATAAATTCAGTTCTCACACCCACAGTGTGGTCGCTGAGCTCTGGCTGTTAATTAAAAGCTGACATTTGACCACAGCGGGCTGCAGAGGGAAGGCAGCGTGGCTGATATGGAGGACTGAGCTCATGCTTACAGGCAAACTGTTGCCTCTGAGATCGAATTGCGGCTTAATGTCCAAGGTGTCATATTTAAATTAATCCAGAGGTTTAAAATACTTCCATCTGCATCCCTGGGAACTTTCAGGGACTATTTCTGGACGCAGCAAGGTTCTCTTTTCCAAACCTTGTTGACAATATTGGCTTTAATCAAATATCCTGCTCAGCCATAGAATTTGGTTCTGGAAATCACAGATGTTTACTAGTCTCTTAAGAATAAAATAAACAGTTTCTTCATTAAATAATCTCATTCATTTCTAACCCTTCATCACAGTAGATCAAGATTCAGAACCTGAACTGTTTTTCCTTTCACTGTACAATTTCCTTTTGAGATTAAAATAGTTTTATTTTTATTTCATGAGCATTCAACCTTCCTACCTTCAAGAGTTATCTTTCAATTACCGTAAATACATTTACTGAATTTACCACTTTCCCTCTAAAAGAGAAAAGAAAATGTCAGCATGAGAGAACGAGTTTGTCTATGTTTTTGTAGAAGAGCTTAAAGGGACCCTATTAGAAATCTGATAGAGCATATATGCTCTGGAAATATCAAAAGAATCACATTAAAATCCATGAAAGTTTAATTTAAACATCAAAGAAAAGACCTTTTTTTAATCTGTCAAAGACGAAGTTAAAACCTGAATATCCCAGTCTTCCTACTGTCCTTTTATCTGTTGCCCTAAATCAGGTTTAGAGTTTGAGCTGGAGAACTTCTACTAATGCTGGGAAAACATTTTTTAAACCCTGTTTTATGACCTCTAAACATAATTTCAAATATATGGTATAAATTACACATATAAAATAAAATGAACAAGGCAAAGTGTTGTGAATAAATAACTGAGTATTAAACGTTTTATTTTACTGTTTTAGGATGGAGGATCCCTGTCCTTTCCTAGTTAGCTGAACGGTAAGAAAAAAACTGGTGCTAAGCTACCTTGATTTCGATTCCTAAATGATCCAAAGTCATTAAATGCTGCTTTCAGTTTCGGAGACAATAATGAGGTTGTTATCATGAAGCTACAGCCAACAGGAGGAGTTTCTGATATTAATGGATAGTGATGAAGTGCTTCCCTTTCACAATAAAACATGAGCAGCAGCTGCAGATTGCAGCTCATATCCCTGCTTCCTTTAACTCTTCATTAAAAAAGAAAAAAAAAAAAAAAAAAAAAACGAGTTTTAAACCGAGAGGCGTCATGTATAAAGCACAAAAAAAACCTGGGGTGCAACGTTTAACGCAGAACTCGGGATGTGTTAAAGTAAACATTGCATAAAAGTGTGCACCATTCCACATAAACCATTTTAAAGCCACAATAAACAATTAAGAGGTGTTTAAAGATGCCCGGTAAAAATTAAATGTTGTTCTATTAATTTGTTTAAACTTAAGGAGGATCGAACATAATTTTTTTCTGTAGGTTTTAGCTATTATGAGTTGAACTTAATTAAAAAAAAGAATCACATTTATCCTCATAAAACAAAGTAAGATGGCCAGAAAAAAATGACAGAAACAGCCTCAACTCTACGCATACTGTTAATATTCATGTTAAGTCGTGGTTTTTCTCAAAGGGACACGTTCATTGTAACTGAAAAAAAGTTGGTGGAGACTAATTTAAAACAAACCAGATATGATTATTAATCAGGTGGATGAGGTGCAGACAAATACATATTCATAAATATCTGTATAAAGCCGGCGTAAGGACCTGCAGCTGGAGGACATGTGAAAGAACGCGGCTCGTGTTCAGATATCCTGCTGCTCTGCTGATACGTGATGATTGATGGCTCTTTAGATTGTCCAGCATCACAGAGGGACACTCAGAAACAGTGCATCTCTGTGCCAGTTCAAGATCAAACCCCCCTTTAGACAGGTGCTAATTGACAGGTTTGATATTTAACTGACAGCCACATCCAAATGTTGGTCAGATATATAAAAATCCCTGAAAGTGCGCCTAAATAGTGACACATCAAATCGCCCTTTGAATGGAGGAGCTGACTTCCAAATGGAAACAGAGCTATAATTGCACTCATATGGATCCAAAATGTCACATTGGCTTTTTAAATTCAAAGCATTTCAAAGCTGTGATGCACAAAGGTGTCTCATAAATACAGTAGCATGACTCTATTGCTCAAATGATGATTTTAACCGCGTTAAATAATTGCTACATTTGGAACAGACTTTAAGCAGGCTCTGTGAGCGACGGCTGCCTTCTTGGTGCTTTTATCTATTTTTTAGCTGAAGTCCTGAATCGTTTTAAACATTTAAAGGAATTCACTGTTTTTTTTGTGTGTGAAGGGTTTCCTTTTAGTAACATGGAGCTCATATTATCATCTTAGTAATGGTTTGTTTAACATTGCGACGATCAGTTTTTAGCAGTAATTGAGCTCGATGCAGCAGCTAGACAGCACCTTGTGGAATTCACAAACTAAGAAAAATACTTTTTTAGTTTTAACTGGTTTAATGAGTCGCTGATGTTATTAAATACGTTTTTTGTCGTATGTAATAAATCTCCCTGAGGAGTTTTGACTAAATTTCAATGTGACGCTTTGACAGCACCGTTGTCATGGTTATTTGGACACACTGTGGGCGTCTTCAGGGTATTTATGCTGATTTGGATATGCATTTAGGGGCAAAGGGCAAAAACACGCGTGAGCCTGGGATCAATTCCACCAAAATGAGATGCATGAAGGTAGAGTGTTACACGTATGCTCGGCTTTATACATCTGACTTCTTCTGTGCCCCATTTTATGCATGAGGGCAAAGGAGTCCAAGTCTAAGTAGAGAGTGAAGTCTTTTATTTTGGAACTCGAGGGCGAATCGAGTCACCGTCTCTGTTTGAAAGTTAAACGACAGCTCATGTTTCAGAAAATGTTTAAAGGGGCAAAGTATTTCTTTATTTTCCCATCTAAAGTGTGGGTTGTGATTGTGGGCTGCAGTTTTAAAGACAAAATCCACAGAAAAAGAGACAAATCTGTTTTTGTTGTCACCTTGCAGAAGGGACCAGTACCATGATGAGTAATTATTCATTTTCATATAATCCACCAAAATGCTTAATTCGCTGTGGATTTCTGACTCCGGTCATCTGTTGGGAAGCTGCTGTTTCTTCACCACCAAATGTTAAATTGAACTGAATGCAAACAGAAAACACAAAGTTTGTCTTAAAAGAATGTTAACCGGTAAGGATCTAGCAAACAAAGCCAGATTTGTCCGTGACTTGCAGCAGCATGGACAGGTCTCCTCGAGGGAAATGGTATTTATAGGGATTTAGAGGTCTGCAGGTCAAGCAAGAAAAAACAAAAGCAAAACTTGTGCTTTGTGAAGAGTTGTGAAGAAAAAAGAAAAATGAGAAAAGTTATGAGCGGCCTTGCATGTATCAATGAAAGCTGTTGTTGTCATAGTGTGGAGGTCACCGCTGCAGTGAATCACAGATGGATCCCAAACAGTCGGACCAATCAGAACTCTACCTTCAGGGTGTCCTCATCCGGCTGATGTGTCTCTGTGAGCGGGGAGGGCGTGGTTGAGCTGAAGCTGTCGTCTGTGAAGTCGATGAGCGACACTTCGCTCTTAGCTGATCGCACGCCGGCGCCGCCTTCCCACGGTCGGAGCTTTAGGCCGAGAGAAGCACCCAGCTTCTTAAGTCCAGATGATCCACTGAAGTCGTCCTCCTCATCATAATCATCCATTACGGAGTCGTACAGCGGCTCTGGAAGCACATGAAGATCTCAGCGTCAAGAAGGAGCAGCGGCGTAGGTTTAAAATGCTCGGAAGGAAAACTTACTTTTGAGTAAAACGGCAGGCTTTGGTGGGCGAGGGGGGGGCTTCTCTGTGAAGGAAGAGTTTGGCCCTTTGTTAGACTTACATAGAAGCTTTTTTACATCATGGCAATCAAGTTGAATAAAAATAATTTACTCTTGGCACGGTTGGGCAATTTGGTTGGTCTTGCTCTTCCAGAATCAAATCCCAGGACATCTGGAGGGTCCATTGGGTTCCCCAAATACAAACTGAAAAGAACAGATTCAGTTTAAATTACTATGAAGCAGAACAATATAAACCAACCAGCTATAAATGTCTTAATATTTATGTTTAATCTCCTCTCCTTTAGACGAAACATCTCACAAGTGACTGATCTATAGACTGTAATTACAGCCAACCTGGAAAATCAGCTAATAGAAACCTTCTCAACTACTGATGGTGCTTTGCTGCCCTCCAGTGGACGGCTGTAGTACCTGCATTATAAATGCAGTACTTTTACAACTCACCACAAACTCATCATGTTCATTGTGTGGATTCTAAACAAACATCAAGGCAACATAGAATCTATATTTTGGTCAAGAGGTGCAAATTCACAGTTGATTATCACCAAACATGGCCAACATTATGTCAAGACATAAATTGTTTATGTTGAGATTCAAAAGGATAATGATTCCAGAAACACATCAAAACTGGGTTTGGAGGCGATGAAGCAGAATAGTTTCCCCAACGCCAACCCTGTTGGAAGTTTTATAGTAGAGCTTCTTAAAATATTGAAAGTGAGCTAAACAGGAACAACATCAACATTAGAAAAGGCTGTTTGGAGAAATATTTGAAAAGGGACTACATTTCAAGACTGATGGATTGAAACACTGCAGATCAATTATATATGTAGTTGGTAGAATGGACTCAAACTGCCTTAAATGTCTAAGATCCTGAGCTTTAACCTATATTTTTATGCTCTTATTTTGTGTTTTATCGACTCTACCACTTTTGGTTTAGTTTTAAATATAAAGTGCATAACAAATACAATTTATTATAATATTTGTTATTGTTACAGAGAAATGTTATAATGTTTAAGAAAAGCACATAATTTCCATCAGACTTGTCATCAATAGTATTACATCTACATATTTTCCTAATATGCACAGTCCTTCAGTGTGGCATAGTTTCACAGATTTCTTTTTTCAAACATAGAAAAAATAAGCTGGCTTTAAATTTTCCTGTTTTCTTTTTCTATTATTTTCTAAATTCCTTGTTATCACTAGCCTCAGACTCTTTAACCATGTTCGTCCCACTATGGGGGATCTTTCACCTGTCTATGCGGTCAGCGTGTCCCCAGCTCCTGTGAGGATCAGTGTCTCCGTGTCCGGTGTGGATGAAGGAGTGTTTGAGCGGCCGGCTGATGTCCTGAGCTGAAAGTCCGGCCACGGAAGTCACGACGTGTCGGGGAAACTGACCAACACGCAACGTCCGTCTGTTCTGGCCACGCCACCAGTAATGCTCCGCCCTGAAGACACAGAATAACACGTGAGGAACCAACTTCTCCAGTGTACAGTATAAGTACTGAAAATGTCATATTCTCTATTGGCCAGGACCCTGACCTTCCCTCAATGATCGTAATGACGTCATTCATCTGAATCTGGAGTTTGTCTTCTTCCTCAAAGTCCTGCAGGGCCCTCATGTCTGTAGGCATAGTCTGTTAAAATACAAACATATTTGATGTGAAACTGCTACTGTCTTTTAAGCGCCAAATGCATGACATTGCAGATAAAAGAAAAAAACAAAATGGCCACAGTTAGATGGTTGAAGGATGCATACAACTCCTATTTGAATTAATCTTTTATTCCTTTTTTTCTAATCCTGTATTATCTAAATTTTAACAAAAAAGCTTTTATTGCCAATAAAGTTTAGGTCTTACTGTATAGAAAAAGGAAAAAGGTGTTTTCTTCTCAAATATGGCTCAGAATGGGCTGGCTGCAGATGTAGCAAACCACCAACAAAATCCTTGACCTGTGCTTACTATCAAAGGTTTTTTTTATACTGATGAGGGAAATGGGGTGAAAGTGAGTAACCTCGAGCAGAAAGTCTCTGAGAGCGATGAAGGTGGGCCTGTCCTCGGGTTTGGGGCTCCAGCACTGCAGCATGACGTTGTAGATGTCTTGAGGACAGTCGTCAGGCTTACACAGCCTCTCTGCCTCAACGTCAACCTTGTGGAGGATCTGCAGATTGGAGTAAGTTTCTCAGATATTCCAAAGAATCCATTTAGTTCTACTCCGAGATTTTTTCTGTAAGAAGTGAGAAGGTCTACCTGGCTTCCATTTAGCCCGATCCACGGCTCCTGCCCATGACTGAACATCTCCCACAGAGTGACTCCAAACATCCAGGTGTCAGAAGCATGAGAGAAGGTGCGAGACTTTAGAGACTCTGGAGCACACCTAGATTTCTCAAGAGACAGAGATTTAGAGGCGGCAAATCAAACAATATGTCAAAAGCCATAAGGATCAGTTACTGTCCTCACCAGGGAAATGGGATTTTATGGCCTTCCTCCATGACGTATAGATCGGTGTGTGTAGGCAGCGCCCTCATCAGGCCAAAGTCTCCGATCTTTACAATCTCATTGGTGGACAGCAGAACGTTGCGGGCAGCCAGGTCTCTGTGAAGGAATCTCCTCTGCTCCAGGTAAGACATTCCACTCGCCACCTGTATAGATAAAGACAGTGAGAGACATTCAAGCGTTTATATAAAGAGATTCTGTCTGTTTGGTCTCCATAATTGAGCTCAACACAACACAGTCTGTCACTATACCTGCACAGCATAGTTACACAGAATAGATATGAGGATGTGACCCTGTCTTTTTCTGAGGCGGTCCAGCAGGGAGCCCAGCGGCGCCAGCTCAGTCACCTACAGCCAAACAAAAAAGCAAGAGCAGAGTTCAGTAAACTGCACCTTGGAAAAGCATTCCCAGCACTTTAACCTTTCTGTATCATATCAAATGGCAACCAGATGAGAGCAGTAAAACACAGTGGTGACCAAATCATGCTGTGGGGATACATTTATTTTTGAATGTGTTGCGCCAAAGCAAATGAGTCTGACCTTGTGGCTTTATGTTTGCACAACACTTCAAAACACACCTCTTTATGAAAAGGTAGAGTGGGTAAACATGGGTTCTATTAGAGTCCAGACCTACTGGCAATCATCAACTAATCAACTGCATTGGAAATGTAATGAAGCACGGGGCTTTGTTTGCACAAGGCCTCCCTTTAGGTTCGGCCCACCAGGATGTGTCTTAAAATGAAGAAAAGACCAAAACCCCCAGACCAAATATGAGCAGAGTGGTATATGCAGTTCAATGCAGTGAGGAATGCTCTGATCTTTATATTGGAGAACCCAAACAACCTCTCCACAGACGCATGGCTCAACACAGACGGGTTACCTCCTCCGGACAGGACTCCATCCTTTGTCCATCTATACCTTATGCACAAAGGACATTCTTTTGAGGACCAGAATGTTCACATTTTGGACAAAGAAGACAGGTGGTTTGAAAGGGGTGTGGAGGAATTACATTGGACTTGCATTAGTCCTTGTTCAATAAGCTTAATATCTAAGAAAAGAAAGAGACTTAGAAAAAGCTGAATTAAGATCAGCTAGAGTTTAGCAGTCTAACAGCTGCAGCTTAGAAACTGTTTCTGGCTATATCTGGATGCTTCTCAGCTTTTTGCCTGAGGAATGGCTGGAAGAGTCTGTGTGCATGATGGGTGGGATCCTTCACGATGTGGAGCGCATCCCAAGTGCATCCTGGTGTGTAGAGGTCCGAGGTAGAGAGAAAGCTGCTTCCTACATTCCAGCCTTAACCACCCTCTACAGAACCATTGCCATATAAAGCTCAAAGCCTGCATCAGAGTAAGAGCTACAAATACTGTATACGTCGGGCTGATACTTCAGGCCTATATTAGTGTTTCTTTTGTTTTTTTTATCAAAATCTTTCACATTACATGCAAACGTTTGGCAATTACTGAGTGAGTTCAGCAGCAGTGTCTTGGTCTCATGTGAAACACAAGAGTGGAAAATTAATGTTCATAAGCCAATCTGACTGAGCTGAGGTACTTTGCAGAGACTAGTGATTGGATGTGTAAAGCTGGCAGAGACACATGGAAATGCTGGAATCACAGCAAAGAAGATGACTTCAAAACAGATTTGTGAAAATATGAAAAATAGACCAGATATGTAGATAAGAAATTCTGCCTGTATCTTCCAATAAGGTTACCTTTGGAGAGTGGCCTCCTAGTGGCAGGGGAATAGAGCTTGAAATCCTGAGGTTCTGAGTTCAAGCCCCACTCCCACAGACTGTCACTCTATGTCCCTGAGCAAGTCCAGTCTCATGAAAAATGGGTGCAACAACAGAAGTAATGCATTTATTTTTTGTTGAAAGTGTTTTTTTATGCATTAGGAGATTAAAGAAAAGAACAAAAATTCATGTCAACTGTTAATACAGCAACAAACACAAATTTATTGCAGACTATGACAGAAATAAATTAGCAAAATTACCATTTTCATGGGCTGCGTTAGAACGACCCCATAGAGACTGATGAGGTTCTGGTGGCTCAGCGAATGCATGGCGTTAACCTCTCTGATGAAATCATCCAAACCGTCTGAGTCCAGCACACCGGCCTTCAGACACTTCACTGCCACAGACAGCTGAGGAGACAGAAAGCTGCCGTCAAACTGCTGAATCTGCTGCAAAGAGGGACTGTGTGTTCTCAGCTTAGCACAGCAAACTTTATCTCACCACTCTGCCGTTAGGTGCAGTCCACTCTCCTCGCTTCACCACTCCAAACGTACCGTCTCCGAGTCGCTCGAACAGCTGCAGCTCCGACTCCTTGATGAGGCAGGTGAGTGAGTCTCCTGGCTCACTGCTGGCTGCAGGCGGGGCCGACGAGGCCCCCTGTGTGGGGTCTGTGTCTGATCGTTTCACTGGAAACACCTGCAGACAAGTTTTTATTGATGAATAAAATAAACTTACCCTATGCCATCTCTTCCAATGAAAGTAGACTGGGTTTTTTATGTCTGTTAGTTCTGTGTTATTTCTACTATTAAGAATCAGAGAGTGTGGCGCTGTCAGCAAGAAGATAAAAGGATTGTTTGCTAATTTCAATGAACTTCATTAAAATATTTCCTATTTTTCAGAAAGCAATTATTACTCCATAAATTTTGTTTCATTTGTTAGAATTAACCACAGATTATCAAGCTATTACTGGGGAAGGTTTAAGCAAAGGCAAGCAATGGTTACCAAGGATTAACAAACTGTTACTGACCAATGATTAGCAATGCTAATTCTACTAAAATACTTCCTTGATACCAAACAGAAGCTAGATGTAGCTACTCAAACTGCCCAAGTTTGTTCTCTTGTTTGAAAAGGTTTTCTCCTGTAGTGGTCAGTATCACAGCAGATCTGAGGAAGCCTCTGACTGAAAACATTTGTTGTTTGGTCTGATGAGGACGGCCTTCATTTTCTGTAAAGTTAATTAAAGCAAATAAGAAATCCTTCCTTAGACGATCGCATCAAGAGGATTTAGAGGAGTTTTCAGCAGATTACTGAGCTTTTTTACGTCACTGGCTATTGTGCTTCTCCGCAAACAGACAATGTCAAATAATTGATTTACACATCATGTGGCAGCAAACTCTAAAGGAGCAGAGCTTTCTTGAAGAAGTACAGTCTGCACCGTCCCTTCTAGCAGACAGCGTCATTGTTACGTCTCCAGTCTGGTCAGTTATCCAAGTGAACAGAGGTATTTATATTTTTCCGATACCTCCACTTTTACTACCATGATCAATGAGCGTTTAATCGTCATCAGTCTAATCTAATTGATTTAATCATCAACACTGTTCTGGCATCATGAACCAAACTGGTCAACAGCTGAGATGAACAAACATTATCAGTAATGATGAAGAGCTCACTACTTCAAATTTATATACCGGTAGTGATGGAAACGTACTTAATTTGTTATTTATTAATTAAGGTAATGATAACATTATCGATCAATCTATAACTGACTATTAAAAAACAGAAAAGGCTTTAGTCACTATCAGTTATTAAGTAATTTAATTGATATTTATCTTTTACTTTTTAGGTAAAAGTTATATAACTATTAACATCACTCACTTAAAGGTAACACGATTTTTACTAGCATTAACTGGAGTTACTTCAATTTTAACCACAATTAAGTAGTGGTTAAAAAATAGTAGTTAGTGGATGATAAATATCTTCACGTAATGGTAAAAGATTATTGATTAACATCAAGTAATGGTTACTTTTATCGTCAAGCATTGGTGACTTTGAACTATCAGTAGGTAAAGGTAAGCAACCACATACCAAATACATAACTAATGTTGGGTAATGATGACCCAACCGTTAAATAACAATCATTTCTTGATGACTTACTCATTAACAGCTTGTATGTCAAGCATTGTGTAGGTGAACAATAACGACATCTAGTTAAGGGTTTACTGGTTAAACCGAACAATGGCAGATCAGTTATTTTCCAGGTTTGGATATTTATAAAATAATGCAACTATTATACAATGTTTACCAGGCAATCTATTAATCAAAACTAACTTTAGATAACAGTTATCTATTTTATCATATTAAAATAACCATTGACTGTTACATTTTTTAATAACCACTTATCAACTATTATACAATAACGGTTAACTTACCATCAGCTAAAAAACACTGGTTAAACTAGGTAAATTTATCAATTATTGAGACATGTAAAAATCTGCTTATCCTAACTAATTATCAATAGACATTTTTATGTACTGGTTAAGAAATGGATAACACATAATGTTCAGGTGACAGTTATTGTTTAGAAAGTAAAAACCCCAGCCTTTGCTTAGTAACACTCTAACTAAATCTATCATACATAGTGTTAGTTAGAGGAGATATCCAGAAAAAAAAATGATTTAACTCTAAGCTATAGAATAACAAGGAGAACATTATTCCAAAAATGAAATCGTCAGAAGCAAAACATTTGATAAATCAATAGTAGATTGGATAGTAGCTGATTATGTTAGCATATTTCTTTTCAAGCTTTTGAGTATTTACTAGCTTCTCTCATTTTTCAGTCTGTGTCATGTTTAGGGGTGAAGAAAAAAATCGATTTGAGCTCAAATCGTGTTTCTAACATTAAAAGATTCAGAATCGATTCTCATTTTCTTTAAAAACTATTTTTTTTCTGTGGGTGCAGATGTGCCTTATCAGGCACCGTAGGCGTAGTGTTTGGTGAAACCAATGAGCAGCGTGAGTTATGCACAGACATGGAAGCGTTAGCCTAGCAGGCTACAGAGTGGTGTGTAGTGTGTGAGCTACTGTGTTTGTTGCCGCTAAAGTATGGAGGCATGACTCATGCGATTTGCAGAGATTGCAACGATAAAGTTAAGTATTTTGGGTGTACTTCATATCATCTCGAAAGACATCACCCAGAGTTGTTAATAGAATTGAATAAATCCAAGATATGTTATCTTGGATTTACCTTTCGGTGTTTACATTATTGCAATAGGTAAATAAAACATTTACAATTATAAAGTCTTTATAAATGTACTCTTCTTTCATGCCAGCAGACTGGAATAGATCCTGAGAATCGTTTTTAATCGTAAATGAATCGTTTCAGAATCGAATAATTTGCATTTAAAAGAATCGGAAAAAAATCGAATTGTGACCCCAAGAATTGATTTTAAATCGAATCGTTGTAATCCCAAAGATTCACAGCCCTAGTCATGTTATATATAATAACATCCTTAGGTCAGATGGGGCACTGCACCTTGCTCATCCAGGACTTGCGTTTGTAAAGGGCTCTTCTTCTCTTGACCGCCTCCCAAAGTCGCCTCTGACCTGAACCAATAAAGTCAAAAACATTCACTGTTTAGCTTCAAGATTAACTGAATGATTATCCAGGACACCATGCAGACACATAAATGGGCATAAAGAATCTTATCAATTGCTCTCACCAGGGCGGCCCATGCCGATCTTCTCCAGATCTTCATTTTTGACGTAGTCAAAGTGGGAGAGTCGCGTAACGTTGAGTTCATCTCGGATCCTCAGAAAGTACTGCTGCAGCTGCACGTCTGTCAGCAACTCCAACAGCCACTCTGTGCCCTCTTCACTTTGCATCTGCACACAGAGACACAAATTCCACTTGATCAATACAATGCATTTATATGGAAGGAAACAGGCCCGATTTAGCTGCCCACACCATTAAATCTTTTAAGTCAGTTCCTAAAAAGATCTGTTGATAAATTTGATGTTAATGGACTCTAATGTACACAAAAGAACAACTGGATAACCGGAATATTACGGTATTCTCAATGGTTGTGTGGCTTTCTACAATATGTTCTTGTTGGTTAAATGAATATAAAGAACACACTGGCTTGAACTTAAATTTGAACTTAAATAAAGGAGTATTTAAAAACATGTTTTCAAAATCTTGATTTATTCTAGTAATTGAATTAAAAGTAATTAATCACACAAAAAGTGGTACATTACATTACTTACATACTACAGTACATTACATACTTATTATTTATGTTTCTCATTAGGGATGACATTTGTTGTGGGAGGATAATTAGTATAGCACTACACCTATCAGGAAGCAACTATTTGAAAAAGGACATCATTATAGGGATGGAGCAAATGTATGAGATTTAAGATTTATTCTAAATGCAAAAAAAACCCTTGACAAACATTCCCCGGCATAAAACGTGTTGGTTGAATCATGCTCTGCTACACAGACATGTAAACGACAAACGCAGAGGATGCTTTTGACTGTTAAATATGGCTGCCTTTCCTGACCCATGAACATAGTAGTGGTGGAGCGATGATCAGGGCCTTTTTCTGTTTTTTTAAACCTCTTTTCTGTAATTGATTAGACAATGCATGAAGCCCCTAACACAGTTGGAGAACATCCAGCCATCACTTTGTGAGCTTACGTTCAAGGACGCTGTGCCTTGAACTCTTCACTCTTTGTTTAATATCAAATTCTTTTGTTTTGGAGAACTTTTGGAAATACCTTATTTAAAAAGACTGCATAGTCTGCCTGATGCTAACATTTGCTGGATGGTTTGAAACATGCATATGTGACAATAACACTACAATATATAAAAAACTGTGATGGTAAAAAGCTGAATCATTGTATATTCATTTTTATAACATTTATGTTTACCAAATGCAAAGCATGCCAATAAAACTTTCAGGGTTGTGGAAATAAACTAAAAATATGGACAATTTCCAGGATAATAAAAGCATTTTAGCGCAAATTATAATTAAATCTCCTTTAGTGTAAGATCCCTACTCACACAGGCTAAATGAACACACACATGTATGATGTAATGAGAGAAATGCTGCAGATCCACCCACAGCTTGAGACTTTTACCATTTGTCCCCCGACTCTTCTGTTTCCCTCCTCTTCATCCTCCCCCTCCCCCTCTGCTCTGGCGTAGGGGAGTCGCCGGTACATATAGCTCTCCCCCATACTGTAGCAGCTCCTCTGGTCCTTCTCTTCTGGAGCTCTCCTGTTCCTGTGCTATTCAAAGGAAGCGTTAGCTCGGCTTTTAGTCTAACACAGTAACACCATCTCAGCTCCTGGATCTCCTGCATTCAGTTGATGCATCACTGCTCACATATACAACAAAACAAACGCTCGGACTGGGCGTCTGATGCTGCTTCTCTTGTCGTATCACCTAAAGCTATCTATGAACGTGCGTCCTCCCTCCCCTGCTGACTCACGGCACCCTGCAGCGTCAGACACCTCCATGCTTCCCCTCTCTCTCCGGCGTTTCCTCCTCTCCTCTCCATCTGCTCCTGGCTCAGCAGCCAAGCCCACTGTCTGACGTTAAATAATTCAGCAGCTCTCATCAGAGCTTGGGAGGGAGATTTTAGAGGTAGGAGGAGAGAGGATGGAGATAGAAATGCATGGGTGTCCAAAGCAAATGAAATGGATACAGAAAGAGTGGGATGGATGGATGGATGGATGGATGGATGGATGGAT